GGTTAATCTACTTAACCTTTTTGCCAAAATTCGGCAGTAACATCTCCCAATCCAGTTGTGATTTACCTACCAATGTTCCAATATTGCTTTAGAAACCTTTGAACGTGCCATATTTTGTGAAAAACCTCAAACACCACTATACCTCTTAACAGTTCCAAAACTTCGCTAAACTCTTTTGCCATAATCCGTGAGCAATATTATTATCGAACCTTTATAATATCTCAAGCTTCTTAGACTTAATAAATAATTTTCTAGCAATCCACACCTTCATTTTCGATCACAAATTGCAACGGAATTTAACGGTTTCCGAAAATATCGAGGAAATGTGGTCGAAAATGGAGAATGAATATGAGAGAATTGTATGGTTTGGCAGGTGCAAAAACATTGCAACTTGGTTCGACGGGTTGTTAAGAGAAGTATAATAAGTTTCGGTGAGATTTCGTGTGGTGTGCCAGAGTTTGGAAGCAATTTTGCCCATTTTTAAGAACTTTTTTAATATTTCCATAAAATTCAATGAAATTCCTATCAATAACAAAATATATTATTATAAGTGAGAAGACCCATCTAAATAAATTATTTATCAATTTGATTTAAATTGATTTAAAATATTCAAATTTATACATGTTTATTCCACTATATAAATTTTCTTAAACTCTATAACTTCCAATATTCGATCTGAGACGGATAGGTTCATAAGGCACAGGTTATAGGCTCAGTACGATTCCACTTCATCGACAGTATCATCGAAAATCCGGATGGTATTTCTAAAGCATCTATGTATCTATCGCTGTGACTCCCTGCCAAAATTTTTTAACTTTAGCCTAACCAGAAATGAAGAGTGCTGACCACTTATTTATTAGATTCAATATTTTTCCTTTTTTTCCTTTTCAATATTTTTCCTTTTTTCATTTTTCTTTTTTTTGCAGCTGGGTAAAACTGGCACATACAATAAATTTGCAAACTTCATTTTCTCCTAAACCTAAATAATTTCTCTTGATTTGCCAATCTGCGATGATAAGTTTATCAATGAGTGTGACTAAAAAGTGAGCGTTCGAATTTCAGTGACTAATCGAACGTTTTTGGCAGAATTTCCTTCATTTATCAATTATTTTTGGTAGTATTTGCCAACTACATAATCAATAATGAGATCTGAATAAAGAATGCAATCTTTTGGTAAAATTTCCATTAATTTTAATTAGTACTGTTCAAATCACCGTGCAGAAACGTATGGGTTCTATGAGTTTCTATTCTGGGAAAAGTAGACCTGAAAATTATTAAAAAATCTGGGTAGTACTTGCGGTCCCCATATGTTTTCGCCCACATATATGATCTATCTAGTGGAGAGAGCTTAAACGGAAATGATAATGGCTAATCATATATTTTTCTCATGCTGTTTGCTATAAATTATTATATAAAGGTGTAGTGCAGCGAAGAATCATTTTCAAGATTATAAACTCATTGATTTGTCTTTTCTTCGAATCTAGTTGAGTAAATAAACGAAAAATCATTTCTAGTTAGGTTGGCTACGCTGTATAATAAAACAGGTGGATCCCGAACTTTTTTCAGTTACTGGTTTATTATAGGGTAGGAGCTAAACAACCTTCTCAAATTTTCTCTCAACATGTTAATCTATCATTATCCACTCGACCATCCTGCCCTTCGAATCCCTTTGATTATGTACAAATTTTAACATAATTTTTCATGAGATTTGGTAATTTTCTGGCACATCTTCACTTATTATTTAGTTACTATAAATGAATAATAGGGAAATGAAAAAATGTGAAGGTTTTATTCTAAAAAGTATCCAATATTTAAAAAAAAAGCATAAAAATTTTTTCAAATCTTTTTAGCTTCTGAAGCTGAATTATTGCTAAAATCTGAATACTGTAGTAATTAGAGTTGAACCACTGTTTATCACTGTCGGCTATTTGTTCTATGCTTTTACGAATTCTTTAAATAATTATGCTTTTAGCTGTTCAATTAATATCGTTCCAGTTTTAATTTATAAATTTTATTTGTTAACTTCAAAAATAACAATTTAATAATTGTTGATTACATTATTTTTTGAAGTGGTCAGTATTCAGCATTTCTAGTTAAACTCTAACGATAATTTTGCACAGAACCATTTGGGGAATAGAAGTACAAATGGGTCTCCCGGATTTTCGAAAACAGGTTTCCTCTTATATAGTTTTTATATGTATATTTTTTTCCATTTAATTTGATATTTTTCTCATATTTTGTATTTTGTTTCTTACAATTCATACTTTTTTTTAGTTGGTGAAAAATATGAAAATATGCGGAAATATTGTTTTGTGTAAATTATACTTTTAGTAATTTTAAAGAAAAAACACATTGATCTGGAGAATTTGTAAGATGGAAATGATCAATATACATATAATAATTTTGCGAAATGATACATATTGCTTTTTTCCGCATAAGCACTTACTATTCATTTCCAAGGATTATAATTTACAGTAATTAATGATTTTTTAATATATAAAGATAGCTTTATTCTTTATTACTTTCAAATTACTTTCCAGAAATAATTCACAAAAAACCCAACTTATTTGCTTATATTATTCCTTAATTGTTGTTAACTTATTTGATGTATTATAGAACGCGATAGATGTACAATAGGTACAACAGATAATAAACAAAAGATTGCGCTGTAGGTTAAAGCCATATTGCACAAGTAAATGTAGTTCGAATGAAAAATGAAAGGAAAAAATAGTAAAATATTAAAAATATTATATGTAAAGTATTGAATCTACGAATTTCAAGAATTGCTGCTGATATTGATTAATAATTGTCGTTGAATTATTAATTTAAAATCATTACTTCAAATCATTTATATAAAACTGGAGGCTGACAGCATTTTATATAATATTTTATATTTTAATGCATCATTTATTGAATAATCCATTCAGTAAGAAATTTTGCATTTACAAACATTGGCCAATCTATTTTTTAAGTGAGCAACACTTCTTCGATTCATTTTTTTGCTTTTTTGCGACCATTTTTGCACAATTTTCTTTTTTTCCGCGTAGCATAAATTACGGGAATAGAAGCGTACATTGGACTTTGCTTTTAATGGCAGATATACTGTGATAGGACGAAAAATGAGAACTACTATGAATTGAGCTTAGTGGAAGCAAAATATCGAATGATCCTCTCCCTGCTAATTAAGCAATTAATTCCTAAATTAGATCAAATGTTTGACAGATAAGTAAAACATCAATCAGAGCTTTGCAATATTTGGTTTCATATGGTTCTTTAGTTTCACATAATATTTAGTTTCAGTCGACCTAGTTCTCATTTAATTAATTAACCAATTTTTCTTCAATCCTTAGTTACAATTTATTAAAAGTTATATATTTTAATTTCATGCGCGAAGGTTAGAACTTAAAATATCAATCATATAATGAGTTTGAGCTCGAATTTAGGATATGGGCATAGACTTGTTAAAATCATTTTTAGCTGAACTTTTTAGCTGAACATTTTTGAGCAAAAATCACATGGAAAATCGATTTCTTTTTGTTTTTTAATGTTTGCCACTTCATTCAACATAAACATGAAATAAAGTTGATTTTTGTTCCATGATTGTCTTATTAACATTGCTAATAGCTTAATATATGCGCTCAAATTCGTAATTATCTGCTGGAGACTCAACTGTAATTCCATTGTCCAATGACTTCCTGGCAAAAATTTCGGAACTTGTAAATAGCTAGCTGAGCTAAAAATAGCACCACTCCCCATATAAATTTATTAGCGATAAAAAAGCAAGCCGATGAAGGAATAAAAGGAATCGTTTGGTGGTCATTATTATCCCTAATCTATGTAAGTGTTGTTTATCATCCGAAAATGTATTCATCGAATTTTTTTCTATAAATTTATTTTTTTTGCATACGGTAGGTATGGTTTTATGAATCAACATTAGAAATTAGTTTAGTACATTACAAATTGTAGTGGTAAGAAAAATTCTTTAACAGTTGTATGAATTTCGAATTGACAGTTCCATCATACATCTCTCAGATTTTCCTTTTTTTTTCATACTATCATAGCCCTTCGTTCTAATCGTCTTTAATTTTAACCTAAATCAATGGAGAACTATTAATTCGAAACAATCTTTCATGTTTCCTATTGTCACAATTAGCCAAAGAAGACGAAAAATTTTTAGAAATAAATTTTTCAACTTTGAATTGTTATGTTTTGGTTAATAGCAGTATTATTATTCTTTTTCTTTTTTTGAGATATTTGTTCAGCGAATGTCTGTGACAATTCGAAATGCGACGTAGTTAAAAAATTCTATCGTTATAATATTATTTCAGGTAAATTACTTCAAAAAAGAATTTAATTATGTATAAATCAACGAGTGATCAAGTATGTATCTTTCTCACTTAATTTTTATTTTCCTCATAATTTAAAAAAAAAATTTAATGAAAAATGAAAAGTATCGATATCACTGAATAGTTCGACATAGGAGAGCAATGCTGTCATGCTTTCATTAGCCAAAGCCAAACTATTACAATTTTTGGGTCCCATAACGAGAGTAATTGATTGATTCTTTTATTAAAAAGTAAATACGAATGGTGCTGAAGGCTCGTATGCACCTTATATACATAAGTAATTCTCTAACGGAGAAGTCTAACCTTAATAGTCAGTGGAGTCAGCGAAACGAGGTATGGCTATTAGATGAAGAAGATTCCATATAAGCATTTATTTTAAATGAGATACTTTCTTATGGGATATTTCATATTAATCGTGTTAAACGTTCTATTGATAAAATAAAAATAAAAATAATAAAATATAATAAAAATAAAAACACTACGAATTGAAAAAAATCTTTTGTCAATTATCCAAAAAAAATTAAGAAAATTTGAAATTTCTTCCAAATTTTCTCGATTATTTTTTATTTGATCCAAATTTTTTTTTTTTAAATGAGAAATAAAGAAAGCGATAGCGAAGTAAAAATAAAATTATAGGGAAATACAAGCAATAGGATGGTTACAAAGAATGATATAGGAAGAAGGGTAATTGTTGGTCGAGTTGGAACAGGCACATTGCTATATGTCGGAGAAGTGGATGGAAGGCAAGGGCTATTTTGCGGGATTGAACTGGATCGACCTGAAGGCAAACATAATGGAACATATCAAGGTGATTAAAAATTTTGCAAATACTCTTATAAATCTTGTGTTTAATTATCTGGCATGAGATTGTTTTTTTTTTGAAGTATGCTTACTATTTCTGGTTAAGTTCTAATTAAGTTGACTTGCCGGATCTGAGTGATGCTAACGGCTTGTACTTCTATCGCCAAATAATTCTTTAATAAAAATTGGTCCGATAAGCCAGCGGAGCAACATTAGCAATAGTGAAGATAAAAAAGATTTCCTAGTAAAAAAAGTATATGAAGGTCGTCAGCACCAATCACAAATCTTTTTGTTACTTTTCGCCAGTCTTGCTTTTAATAGTTTTGTTTTTAAAATACTGAATAAATCTATTTTAATATTTCATGGATGCTATCTAAAACTGAGAAATAAAGGATTATTTTGTGGATTGCATAGTAATTCAATATAATGCCTTGCATTCCTAGAATGCATTGATAAAAGATATCTTATCTGTTCCCGTTAGCGCTATTAGCAAAGTTTAATTCCATATTTAAATCACGATCTCATTACTTTTTTTTCTTCTTACAACAGCGGTTCTTATTGGTGAGGCTAACTGGACTAGCACCAAAGATGAAGCGTTCCAAGCTCCTCATGACCCTTATGCCATATGTGAAAATAATAGAAGCCACTTTTCACCTAAGGCTGTGAGAATTTGGGCACCTTATGTATTTAAAATATCTCCAAACTGTGTCAGATTTTGATTGGCCTTTACGTATTAATTCATATAACAGATGGTGACGTTTCCACTTCCATAATTCGTGAATTACACTTTTTTTTTCATATTAATTTATTATTTATAATTTTGCTTTGATTAGGTTTGGTTTTAACTTTATTAAATAAATAATTATGTTAAATTGACTTAATTCTTCTTAAATTTGTTAGTTCTTAAATTTTCTTTGAATTATCTAAAATGGAAAATAGCAAAATGGCATTGCGATTAATTTGGTCACCATCAAAATTTTTTTTTAGGCACTGCTTATTTCCATTGTAGTGAACAACATGGTATATTCGCTCCATTATATCGAGTTGAACTTTACAATGAGCTTTATCATTCTTCGATACCTCAACCCGAACAAGTTAGTCATCAATTTCTTTAATTTTTCATTATTCTTTTCCATCTTTTTATTTTCTGTTTTAAAGGTGAAATTTCTCTTATTCTCTTATTTTCGTCTCAAATCATCCTCATCCTCTTTAAAAATTTCAACAAAAGTTGGAACGATCGAGTGACAAATTATTTCGACTAAGATTGCGCATTGTGCATTCAATTCTCACTTATTAACAAGTCAATGAAGTAAAATTCGCGCGGTGCTAGCGATCCATCTGCAGTTCTTCTCCCAAGTGTCTCTTTGAAAAAGAGTGATAGATCAGTACTGATAATACTGATAATTAAGCCAAAAACAGTAAGTGCTTCATAAACGAAGAAGAAATGCAACTAGTTTCTTCAAAAATTAAAACCAACAAACCAAATTTTGCTTTTTATTTTCGTTAAATTTATTTTTATCCTTTATGGTGAATATTTTTCACTAAATTTTTGGAAAACTGCTTTAAATACCTATTAGTTATTTAAGAATTTTGAGCTTGTCTTAAAAAGACATTTGATCATCAATGTTATTACATAAATGTTATTATGAATGAATGTATGTCAGAAATTTGCATTCATTTCATAAATATTATTTTCATTTGTTCATTTAGCTGAGTATTTCTGCATGCCTGAATTCTTCTTCTTCTAATACCTCTCACAATTACTAATTAGGCTAGCCGCAAGGGTTACTAGGGTTACAAGAGGCTTCCAGGCGACGCGGTCTGATGCCATCGTCGACAGTAATAAAAGCCATTCCTTTTTTCATCTTCTAAATCAATATATCGCTGGTCCCCATATACGTCCAAAATCTTTCCGAAGTGTATCAGTCCAGGTCTTGACTGGCCAACCTGGCTTTTGACGCCACCCATCGCAGGGTTTAGCAAGTAAAGAAATATGCGTCAACTTTTGTAGTGGGCGACGAAGAACGTGTCTTAACCAGCGAAGACGACGTATTGATGATAGTGTTAACAAAAGTGGATGCAGTAATATTTTATCCGCTTGACAGATCCGGACTCGTAAAATATATCTTAGACAAGAGTGGTCAAAGCTTAATAGCTTCTTAATATCCTCCACTCTCAAAAACCAGTTATTTTTTCTATGGGCCAGTTATTTTCTATTTTCTACCAGTTATTTTTTATTTTCTAATTTTTAGATATTTTTTGCTATATTTTCAATTTAAGTTTAAAATTAATTGAGAAATTCATTCGTTTTTTCACATGAGGATTTGAAAATTTGTTATGTAACTGTTTTTTAAGAAAATATCAAATAAATTGATTGTTATGGTTATGTTTTTTCATAGATTACATAATTGAGATATTCATTTTGAAAATAATTGCTGAAGGATCTCTAATAATGTAATTTTAATTATTTCTCCTCAATACTTATTTTTCAAATATTTAAATATTTCTTTTTTTCAGAAATTCATTTATTCATTCTAGATTATTCTTTTTTTACCTATCTTTTGAACTATTTTTTGAGAAAATATCAAATGAACTGATTGCAAATAAATAAATAAAAGTTTTCCACGTTTTGATGATAAATTCTGGAAATACCATAATTTATCTGGTAAATATTCGATAATATGGACTTTAATATGAATTTTGAAAAATCATTCGACAATAAGGTGTTACAATATGAATGTTAACCATGGAACTATTAAAATAGAATAGAAGTGAAATTATAAGAAATATTTTCTTCACTTAAAAATTTTACTAAATAAAATTTTCGAAGAATTCTTCGTCCAACTCGCTGGTCAGGTTGATTCCACAAAGACTTTAAGAAACTTTAAGAATTTTTTAATTTAAAGATTTATTCAATAGTTTAAAAATCATAATTAGAAAATTTATTAAAATTATAAAAAAATATAAATTTTCTTTAATAATCTTGTTCAGTTCTTGGCACTAAAATTTAAAGACATTTTTTAAATAAGTTATTTTGAACGATTTTAAGAAATTTTGCAGATATGTAAATTTCAGTTTTGACAACATCAGTTATATATAATCAAATCTTGTGTATAATTTGTCCTTTAAAAAAATTCTCAATTGAGCCAAGCGAAAAACAAATTTTGAGAGAAAAACTTATCGATTAAATTTATTGAAATTATTTGAAGGAATTTTTTAAATATTTGAGTAGTTTTAAAAGTGTTTGTCTATAAATTTTTTAGGGAATTTTATTTTTACTTATTTTAATAATTATTTCATCCATTATTTTCATTAAAATAAGTAAGAGAGTAAGTAAGAGAGCAGAACGTTCAGATTATTAGAGAGCAACTCCTGTATCATGACGACAAATCCGTCATGAAAAAATCCGAGTGGTGTTGGCGACATATTGATGCTTCTATCACTAAACGGCTCCATGAAAAAAATTTCATGCTTGCCAGCGCAACGAAAAATGATGAGAATTAATACCTATTGATTTTCATTCGTTGTAATATACAAAGATAAATGTAGATGAATGGAAAGTTTGTCTTAAGAGGAGTATTGTTAAGATGTTTTAGACGCAATGAGATCCAATTTTCTCCAATTGAAAAGAAAATCGATTTACGAGGAGGAGGCTAATCTATTATTGTAATTTAATCGAATTTTTAAAGTGATACAAGATATTTTTTAAAATGAAATAGACTGATACAACAGGTGTTGGACTGCTAATAGTGAATAAGTGATAAGTTAGCAATATCCGGTAAAATAGCGCATAGGGATGCAGGTGGATCAACGTCACCATCCAATCCAGAGTGGAAATAAGTTCCGAATTCGAACATTCAAGACGATAACCTAAGCAACAAGCACTTGGTTATTCTGTCCAAATTAATAATGCTAAATATATTCTACATATTCTATTCCATAAAAAATTTATATACATTTTAAACAATATTTTCAATTATTTATTGCATAAAAGCATTTTGATTGGAAAAATTTTGTCTGAAAATTTATATCTGAAAAAATTTTCTTCTGATTTTCATCAATATTCATTATATTAACAAATTTTTTCCAAATTATAAATATAGATGAAAAAAAGGTTCACAATAGGCTTTCTGGTTAGGCCCATTCTCTGTTAATATGTTACTTTTGTTAGGGAGTCACTTGGTGATAGAAGTTGATCGATAACAGTATTTGGATTTTTTAAATTTTAAGTTTCAACTCCAACTCCAACAGTGCAAAAATCGAACTCTCGCTAATAAGATAAACTAAGCTATTATCCACGTCTGAACCATTATGTTTTCAGCCACTCTGCCTTATATTTAAATTTTATGAGAATGAGGAATTTTGATTAAACACAAATGGACTTTTAATCCTGGAGAAAAGAGAGCAATAAAATTTAATTATATGATTACCCGTTTTGTCGAGTAATTTTTGATTTTCGAATATTTTTGAAGTTATTAAATTAAATTTTAATTTTAAACAAACTCTTCGAATTTTTCATTCGCAAATTTCAATTTATGCAAAACTGATTTTTTTAAGAATTAGGAATTTCTTTCAACCAATTTATTACATTTATATTTTTACTACATTCAAATTTTACTTTTCATCACTGGCCAATATTTAAATAATTCATATATATATCATATATATATATATATATATATATATCATTTAAAAAATTCATATAATTCATATATATATATATCATTTAAAAAATCCAGACACAAATCCAGATAGTCCAACTTATATTTCTATCCCAAGTGACTAAGGCCGAGCAATTAAGACCGAAGTTCAGGTACTGGCACTTATCTTCCATTTCCAAGTGATCCAGTTTTATCATTGACTTAAAGGCTTCATCCTAGAAGCCAATGCAACCATCCAAAGCAGAAAAAATTGTTTACTGAAAAAAAATTTATTGCTAGAAAATATCTGAGATATCTAGCAATAAAGAATTTTAAAGGATTAAAAGCTTTTTCAGGAAAATTTGTGAGATTTTTTAAATAAATAAATAAATAACCACACCAATTATAACCACTAAAAAGTGAAATTAAAAAAAGAATTAATTTACTTAAAAGAATTAACATTTTTCGTGAGGAAAATATAATTTCGGAAAAAATGGATTTTAAATTCAGTTTATGTAGATTGAAATAATTTTTTTGACAATGAAAAATTAATTTTTATTATTTATTAATTATTTCGCTCAATTTTTGAACAATTTTCACAAATAATTGATTTTAAAATTTAATATTTTTTGATATTTTTTGAAATTCAAATTGTAATTGCTCATAATTTCCAATGCATAACGATCTAATTGTAGTTATTATGGATTTTTAAATTTAATAATTTTTTAGTATTCAGCTTTTGGTTTTTCATAATTCTCGGTATATAAGGACCTGACCATAGTCAAGAAGAAGGCATAGACTATCTATTATTTCGAATCCCATGGCTTAGCCCCAGTAAGAGCAAAGCCATAAAAAAATCCATGTAATTTTAAGGACTCATCTGCATCTACTTTCTAGTAACTTCTGATAAATTTATCTCATTTTGTATATAACCACCATAGCGCACCTAACATTTCATTATTTTATTTATTTTTCTTGTCCACTTATCTAAAATATTTTACAAAAATATAAAAATTCTAATCATCCATTAAATAACGGGTAAAATTTAGATGGTAAAATTTAAATCTATTTAGATGGTAAAATTTTGAGAAAGTTCTTTATTATCGAGGTAATATCCAAATAACAAATAACGATAATAAATTCGTTCACATTCACAAGCTCTTATCACGCACCATTTGTAATTATTTTCTATTAATTAACTTGATTTACTCAAATTTTTTCCATTTGATCACTTCATCGATCTGTTTGGTTAAAAAATTTTCTTTAAAACACAATTGAAAAAATATGAATGATGATTGAAAATTTTTTATAAAGTTTCAATGCGGCAAAATAAATTTATCTCCTATTAGAAAATATTTAAATAGTGAATTGTTAAATATTTGATTTAAAATAGTTAAATATTTAAATATTTAAATAGTTAATACTGATCATTTTTGGTTAATCAGCTCTGCTGGCTATTAGTATGGTTAGAAATTTAGGAATAGGAAATCGTAGCGATACAGGTAGGCCACACCATCCTTATTTTTTAATGACACGTCTACTCGTATCAGAAAATAGGAAATCGAACTTATGTTCAGTGCAGATTGGAACAACCATTCAACTATTCTTTCTCCTTTGAGTTAATAAGAATTTTCACAAATTTTATTAAAATTGCTAATATTTTCGGAATTTTTGAGGATTTTTTGTCTTTCAATTTACATTTTTAATAAAAATTGTCGTATTGATAATTTAATAATTTTGGCAACTAGTTTCTAAAATTTTATAAAATGCATAATGTTGGTATATTTTAGAAACTTGTTCGTTCGGCAATGCCTGCAATTAGCTGTACAACACCAACAAGACAAACTCCAATGGATATTAGTATGGCTTCAATAAGTTCAATGAATACATCAATTTTTGATAAATCACTGGTCAATTAAATCATTTTCTTTTTTTTTTTTTGTTCCATATTAAATATGATATGATATCTGAGTTATGAATGAATGAGAGATGTTTTAAAACATATTTTATTGCGTTTATGTTTTCTTAATCTATTTAAATTTCCTTGATAACAATTTAAATTAGTAGATGAATTTTCATATAAATATTAGACAAATATTAAAAGTAATATTATAAAGTAGTATTTACTAATAGCCAATTATAATTATTAAAAATAATGAATCGTTCCAAAATCTCTACAATATACCAAAAAGTTTTATACAACTCGGGGATAGATACGGCTTTGTTTGCCAGCAACTCCCAGATTTTTTAGTGATTGGTTGACTCATGTAGAATCCAAGGATAGACGATAGAACCAGAATTTTGATACGCAAGATAATCTGAGAGAAAACAACTCGACTCTTCTGCATAATTTGAAATTTTCAATTTTTGAAATAAAGATTGGCTTTATTTACTATCGATACTTTATTTTTCAACTTTGCACATTTTGTTTCCATCTTTTTCAACCGTCACTAAACTGTCAGTCGAGTTGTAAAGAAACAAATTTGATTTTGCGGAAAGTGATTGTTGAATGAATCAAACATTTTATTAAGCAATTGGAAACTTTGCTCAGTACTAATTGATATGCTGGCTAAAAGTTGTATGGGAAAAATTCGATAAAACGAGATTTCTTGCAAGCCATTTAATGGAGAAGAGGAAGGGATGGGGGAAGTGAGAGAGGGTAGTAGCAAATACTCTTAAGGAGTAATTTTTTAATTTTTTAAATATTCTATTACTTCTATATTTTATTATTTTCCTTATTTTATGAGCATAACCTTTTCTAAACATAATTTTCAATTTTTAACATTAGGCCACTGATAATTGATAACACATGATAATTCTTAATCAGCTCTAGATAATTAATTAATATGATAATTTATTGCTGTCGAAATAATTTAGTGTTGTAGCATCAGTAAACCTTATACAAATTTCAATAAGAAATTTAGTCCCAAAAATATTTGCATTTCTTTGAAAACTTTTTACTTTATGTGCTTAATACTTTTATTCGATTTTTTATGTTTGTAAAACAGTTGTCCAAGACGAACTTTAAAGAATCTTTTATTTCTTTCAAAAAAGTCAATCAAAACTCATTCAAGTTGATCAAAAAATTTTAGATTATGAATGAAAGTTGGAACTGTGACTCAATGGTCAATTCACATGCGACCTATACGGTCTCTGGGCCGGTATTTTTGCCTTTTTTTACAAATCAATTATAAATTTTTATTTTATTTCTTTATCATTATCACTGTTAGTAATAAGGATAGTCGAGTAATATAGTATCTTCGATCTGCATCGAGTTCGATTCCTGACACGAATAAATCTGCCATTAAATAAGTCCAGGTGGTGCTGCTGATGGTCCATTTTTATCCCTAAAATAATTTTTTTAAAATAAAAATTTTTATCCCTTGTGCTTGTACTTCTATGGACTCCCCGGCTAAAATTTCCTACCAGCGGAACTAGCGTAACCAGATGTGTGAACATAAATACTTCTTTTTCATTCTTATTTATTATTTAACAAATTTGCCATTGAAATTTGTGAAAATTAGAAATTTTAAAAGTACTTTAGGATAGCTTGCTTGATATATCCTCGAATTCTGCTTTTTCATATACTAATTGTTTGATTTCTTCAAAACAATAAAGAACTTTAGAAAATAAAATTTTCTCTTTCTAAATTCTTCACGAATTGTGATAGAAACTTTGGAAAAGAACCTATTGTTAGCATTTTTATTTTAATTTTCGCTATAAATTCTGAATTTCTATTCTTCCAATTGTACTCACCATTTTTGATTTGGCTGTCACTTGGAGATTGAAATATAGATGATACAGATGGCTGTAATGGCTTAGTCAAGTGGGCGCATCATTCAATCATCTTGTTCTTAAATTTAAATTTAAATTTAAAAAAATGCAAAGACTTCTTTGCTCAGCCGGATTTACTGGGAATATTTAATCCGATTCCCGGATTACTTATTTTGAAAAAAAGTAAAATGTTTCAGAGCGATCTAACATTAACCTCCTATCAATTACTAGAGGATATTGAGTGTCCAAGCGAATTGATCGATGTTGACGACGATATTACTTTCACACAATGTATATTTCATACATATTTTACTATAGAAGATATATTTTTCTATAGAAAATATACTATATTTTATATATATTTTACTATTTTACTAAATATTTTATCTTGAGGTTTGCTGAGCTAGTAAGAGCCCATGAACTCGGATGGCAAAAATCTTTCTTCCACTGATCCATTTTGTAATTTAGCATTTCTTAAATACATGAACGTAAGTATATCAAAAACGAATATTCGCAGTGCTAATGATTTTGTCATGTTTTCCAGTAGAAATTATAGATATTTTTATGAAAATATTAATTTCCCATTGTATTCCCTATTGCCTTTTATTTTATTTTATGATCTTGAGCATATTGGTGAGAAAATCCATAGATTGCCAAAGGAGTCCATGACATGCGGACTATTAAGAATCCTTGGTTCAGGGCCACATTTTATTTTCGCAATTTTTTTAATGGACTTCAGTGACTTTATAATTTTAGCAAGCAAATTATTCTGATAGCAATTACTGCGTAATTTTGCATAATTTGTATAATTTTCTTATATTTTATTTATTTTCACATAATTTGTTAGTTAAAATGAATAGCAATGCAGATAATAATTTTTCAGCTTTAATATTTTAGTGAATACAAGTTTGGTGCTTGAAAAATCACGAATTGGTGTCGATCGTCTCCCTATCGTTGGTGACGATCTTTCTACTCCTCAAGTTGAAAGCCGACCATTCGTCAATGAAGACTATATAACGAATCAAATGGGCCTAGAATCAACCGGACCATTAGAATTGTCATTTGAAAATCGAGCATCACTATCATTGCAACGGAACCGTTTTCCATCCCAAATGAGTATAAATTCTTCCGAATCACATACTCCGAGATCAGCATCACCACCGGTCATTTTTTTCGCTTTCACTGTTTTTTCTTCCATTTCATTGGAGTTACAGTGATAATGACAATTTTAAAGCATTTTTATTAAAATGGTTTAAAATTGAAAATGAGTTTTTATATTTTTGTATTTTACCTGTTGAACAAGTTTTAACAAAAATTTTATTTGATAAAAAAGAACTATTTTAATTTTTTCCTTCTTTTTTTATCTTTGCCTTTGACCTATCATGGAGAATAAAAAATTTTTTCGCTTTTTTGCCTTCATTTCGCCAAGTGACTGAAGGAGACCCACCCGTACTTCTGTTCCAACTGTATACAATGAAAGAGCCTGGTTATTTTGAAGAAAAAGAAAAGTTTTGAATATTTTGAAAATCAAGATGTGAAAAAAATTTAAAAATCTTTGCCGATTATTAGGAAAAATATGCATATATCGTGCTTTAGACATTTTTCTCACCAACAATCTCTATCAATAAATTTACGAATGGTGACATGAAGTCATCAACGAAAAATATGCGAGAAGATAATAAAGTTAAAGCTGAAGAAAGAGCAACGCGTCCTAAGAAACCAAAACCTGTAATAATTTTATTATAGAAATATTATTTTTATCATATTAGCCGTCTTTTATTAAATTTATTAATTTAGTAAATAATTTTTAAAAAAACATCGACTTCAATTCGCTAATATTTCATTTTACATCCTTTCCCAAATTAAATGTATTTTTGCCAAAGAAATATGAAAATTCTTTAAAGCCGTCAATACGAGAGCTTCAAAATGCTCCAATACCAAGTCGGTCCCCAAAACTGAAACCTCCTTCAAAATCACAAATGATGATGGAACAACTAAAAGCAAGTATCGAAGCGGACAAACATAAGCCAAAAAAGGATATTAAATCAAAGCTAAGTGAAATCATTAATGTCAGTTTACCAAAGCGAAATGGTAGTAATGAAAATGAAGGTCAGTTTTCATTATTCAATTTATAATTTTAATTTTTTAGTTTCAATTTAGCTATAATGACTGCCTTGAGGCTAATGCTATCACTTTTGTTCATTTTGTAAACAGTAACAAATCCGAAAGTTGATTTCTTCTGTAACAGCTTTTTCAAAAATTGTTCCTCAATGAAACCGTAATTTACTGAAACTTTCTATTTAGGTCGATTGGAACCACTTAAATAAATTATAATAATAAATTATAATTAATTAATAAAAATTAATTTAGAAAACTGATTTTTTCCCTGCAAAAGGTTTTCTTGCTGAATTTTATTAGTGCCTTTTTCTGCAATTTCTTTCCTTTACAAATTTTTTCTCTGCAAAAGGTTTCTTGCTGAATTTTATTAGTGCCTTTTTCTGCAATTTCTTTCCTTTACAAATTTTATATTATTTTTGTCAAATCATTCATAATTTTTCCTCTATTTTGAACTTTAAGCGAATGAATATTTAAAAGCAATTTTATGTGAGTCGAATATATTGTGCACATATAAACAAACCTTCAAATCTGGAATTTGTTGGTTGGAGCGAGCATTTATTGATATAATGTCAGAAAATCCACGTTCTAGAAATGTATTTTGTCGGACCAGCATGGTCATATTCCCATAAGGTTAATGGTGTACTATGATCAACGATTATAAAAATAAGAATCTGAGCTTTATTAATAACTATACTCATAATTATCACTGTGACTAAGCTCTATCTTGTTGGAATATGATTTGTGATTTTTTAGATAAAAAGTTTCATAAATTCCTGGAATTGAATAAATTTTATTTTACTTTCTAATTAAAACGTAAAACGGAAGGAAGTAGGTATATTGATGAATATCTTAATGAATTATTCATATTGCTAGTGAAGAATCGTTCCAAAATTTTTCGAAATAATTTATTTCTTGATGTAAAGTTTTTTGTTAATGATGGCACTTTTTTTTCAAATTTTTTGCAATTGTGTAGGCTTTAAAAATCTTAAGTTCTGATTTGTTCTGGCTTTTTCGAACTGTTTTGCAATTAAAATATTTTTCATTTACATTTCCATCACTCTTAATTGCGTGCAAAAAAATGGCTTTTGTAATTAGTATAACTACTTTTCTAAATAGATTTCCTTCTTCAGATATAGATTAATTGTTTTTACGATTAATTCCCAAAAACACTAATTTCCAAAAGGTGATTTTATTTGTGTTTTCGGTCTTTTTTAGGTGGCGATTCATCAAGTAATTCAATTCTATACAATGTTATCATTTAAGCAAAATTAGAATTCATATGAATAGAAATATAAAGAACTTTTTATTCTCTTAAAAGTACCAATTATTTCTGGCTTAGCTTTACTGACTGATAAGGTCAGATGCTTTTGCCAGAAAGTCTCTTGGGTATAGAAATGTGTTTAGCACCATTCTGAAATCCTACTTAAATTCTGATTCTAATATTATATATCTGAACTTAAAATATATACGCAAATATATATATATAGTCTTGATTTCTTCAGAATCAGAAGAATTAGTAATCTGATCTAGATAATTTTTGGTGGATTTCATGTATTGCCAAATGTTTTCTGTTTACTTGAATAATACTAGAGACAATGGTTTGAAGATGTGCAAACCCATTTGTAAACCTAATGTTATGGCTCACAGTTTTTCTCACTTTTAGAATGAATTACTCCCTGATATAGAATTGCTGCACCACCAGTTTTTCCCCCTTAAATATAAATTAAACAAAGTTGAATCTTATATATATATATATATATTTTATTTATCCTCATTTTAATTCTCTATTGGTTTTTTCACTTTCTCCGAGAACCTTTTATCATTAGCAAACCAACGCTCTTGTTTTGCTATTAACTCATTCTCTTTGCCATCTTTGCTTCTGCCAGCGAATAATTTCAATTAATTTTTATTTAAATTCTCTGCCATTTCACCATTAATTGTTTATTTTTAAAATTTTTTTTAATTTTTTCTTTTCTTAGCTTATACTGTCTGTTTTTTATTAGAAATAAATAAATTTGAACTATCACGATTAATTAGCTAATAACGACCCATCTATGCTTCTATTACCAAATGATTCCCTGGCAAAAATTTCTAACCATATTAACAGCCGAAGGAATCTAACCAGAAATATGGATATAAAAATTAGTACAACGCCATTATCTGGTTTCTGGTTTGCGTTTGAGGAAAGTCTCTAAAACGACAAACCTTCTCTGGTCAAATTAGGAGTGATATCCAAAACACTATGTTAACAATCTATTCTCACTAAATTCGCGAGAATGCCGTCTTTCATCTTAATTTTTTACTGGTTTTTTGTTGTTTCAAATTTCTTATTATTTCTGAAAAGTCTTAAAACATTTTACTTTTTTTTTTAGCATTAATCATATTTAATCGCAAGAAAAACCGTTCATTTTCCTTATGAAAAAGTCGTTAAGATTTTAATTAAAATTGTAACATAAGTGGTTAACTCTCCGCATTTTTGATTAGACTAGTTCCACCAGTTGTTAATTCGATATTTTGTCAAAGAACCAATTGATGATAAAAATAAAGGTGGGTCGACTGAACCACCCGTACAAGAAATTTGTTTACTTTTTTACTATTTCAAACAATGCAATACCTTTTATAATCTTTTTGTGTAGTTCCTTAGCAAGATGGAGATATTTAATAGTTAATGTTCTGATGATGCTAGAAATTCAATTAACTCTATTAGGCGATTCTTTGGTGTCTCTGTGGACTCTGTGGTTTCACCCTAATAGCCAAATATAAATATAATTTCCTTTTTCTCCACAAAAATAGATCTATCTTGGCATATTCTCATTGCTTTTTGAACAATTAAATATATATAAATTTATATAAATATAAATTATACTTGAATATAAAAAAGAATTTAATAAAAAAAAATAAATAAAGAAAATATAAATTTTCGGATTTTTAAGTTCTCAGATTTTTAGATACCTTTTTTTTTAAAAAGCTAATTGACCATATTTTATGGTCCATTTTCTCTTTTATAATTTTTTCGTTAGCAAAACCCTAGAATTTATATTAAACTTCATACGAAAATTTAACAATATTGCAAAAAAATCTTGTGACACCATTTGAAAATTTATGAAGTAATTAAGAGTGGCAACTTTATAATCCGAGTTCAAATTTTATCTTATTTCTTTCATTTCAAATGTCGCATTCAGCTTTTGACGCAGCTGCAGCTAGAAATTGCGAAATCAAAATCGAATATAAATTTTACTGGGGATATTGAGTTCAATGGGAGGAGTGATGAGGTCGATTAGTATGTAAATATTATAACAGCGTTCGAATGAGTACTAAAAGAATATCGTTTGAGGTTATACTAAAGGGTATAACCTGGTTCGGTGGCGATTTTGATCGTCTATAGCATAACTACTTCATAATATAACTACTTCATAATCTACTGCTTTGGTTTTTTCTATTATTTTCATTTTTTCAATTCTTCGATCTCAACCCATTATTTTAATATAATATTTTAATAAATAAATATAATAAATAATCGTTTTCTTCTGCATTTTCGACACTTAGAGGCAGGCAGTTTGTCCATAGCATATATAATTCCTTTAATTTATCCACATTATTCCTCGATAAGCTCCTTTTATTTATGCTCATAAATTGTTTATTTCCTCTGTAAGTTGTGATATTTATCCATCTTTTATCCCATTTTATATATTTAATTTGCAATTATTAGTTTAAATTAATTTATTTTTTTGATTTTAATCGTATTTGAATGGTTTTCCAGTTAAAATAGCTAAAGTTGAATTCTATTCGTTTTGAATGAAGCATCGTTATTTTCAGCCATTTTTGTCCTCTTGTCTTCTTAACAGCAACATGATATTTGGTTATCATTTCCCACATGCAATATTAATGACAGTGATTGCTAATAAATTAAAGGCATAATTTGTCTTCCGCTTTTTTTTCAATTTATAATTTACGACTGGGTAAAAAATTATATAATTGTATCCACAGTAATCAGAGATATTAGTCATAAGGTTGGATAGTCAATGTTTCACTATGATTGACACTGAGCATCATGAATTTTATTGCTATCGCGTAATGGGAGTAAATCTGTCATGAAGAGTCAAAATTGCTGTTCAGTACTCAGGTGACTCTTTGACGAAAAATTGATTCTAGAGAGAGTTTGCTTGTTTTACGTTTATTTGTTTATTTATAATAAAATGAGAAATGGTGAATATCTGAAAGAAATATTCAAAGATTAATGAGAATATGAATATAAGAATAGGAAATTAAAATTAAAAAAATTATTATTACTAAAAATAAATACTTATCATTATCATTTTAAGATTATGCTGTAAAAAAATTTATTAAAAATATTTCTAAAAATAGCAGTTTTTTTGGATTTTGCTGGCTCTAATTTTGAATTCTTCTCTATTCTTTGATATATAAGTTTGTTAATTAGGTTTTTTCTTTTATGAATAAAAACTGTTCTATCTGATAAAAAATTTAAAATTCACCTTGAATGAATTTAAAAATGGAATATTCTTTGAAAATCGGATTTCAGTTGCAATTGAGAAATCTTTTATGTTTCATAAATTTTTCGCAATATTTTTAGAAAATAGTGATTTCATATTTTATTGATAAATTATATTATTTTATTGAAATTGATTAATTGTTATTTTGCTAGTGAAATTCATTCATAAGAAATAGGATTCATCTTCATTAAGCGCATAATTTCGAGAAATCTTTATTCTGGATGCTTTATTTAGATTATAGGGGAATAGTTTTTCAAAAATTAAAATTGATAAAACTTATAAAAATAAAAATTTAAAAAAAAATAAATGAACAATCACGCAATATAAAAGACTGATTGTTAAAAATGGAGGGTCGGTTGGTGAAAAATTTGACCTCTTGAAGAACCGAATGACAATCAGTTCTCTTGTCTATTTTGATTTGTAATGTTCTGCATTACGCTATACTTTTGTTGCTTTGTTATGCATTATATTTTTCATTAATTTCCAGTTGTTATTTTTAGGGATAAGTTTTAGTATTAAACCTTAGCTTACTGCAATTTCAATTTTAAAATACAAACTTCTGATAATTAATTGAAATTTTTAATTTGGAATGCATGAGTGTAATATCAATAAATTCGTAATTTTTCGATTTTTCTGGCTAGGCTTATTTCACTGACGAAGATAGGATAAGCATTTTTATGCTATAGTGTTGTGATAAG